CTATATATGTCTCATCCAAACATCTAATTCTAGGTTAACATACGGGTTCGACCTTCAGGCAATCAACCCGAAGTTCTCCCATAAGCATTTCATCTCTTTTTGAAATGGTTATATAATTTCTTTCATTCTCTTTTTCTATAAGCTAACTCAAATATAAGGCCGAGCCGCATTTTTTATTTTACATTTCACTTTAAACAACTATATGATTTTTTTATTATTATTTCAAATTCAGCAAGTAGTAATTTTATAGTGACCTGAGCGTTAGAAAAATATTTAGAAAGACACTCCTAATTCCCATTTTTCTTATGAAGAATCATCTAACCATATTATTGCTTAATGATATCATTGTCCTTGTTGCAACCAACTCGCGTCCTCAACTCTCAAAGTCCTCGATCATCGATTGTTTTTTTTTTTCAAGTCCTTATGGGTTATCGCTAGACTCGGAGCTACTCCAAACCGTCGAATTCAATGTTTTTGACTTCCCAAAGGCTAAACCGTGAGTTCTTCTAAAACTAACAAATTCTAAATTCTCCGAAAAACTATTACACTATGAATCAATTATTCAAGAAACCTGACATTTCGTTCCGAGCAATATTATTTTTATATCTTTAATTGGATTCATAAATTTATACAAGGGATTGTACATGATTTAAAAAAGGGAGAATATATAGTAAAGATTCACCATACAAACATATAAGAGCTAAATAATGACTTTGGTACGTTGGCCTTTTCTTATGGTCATTTTGTGAGAAGCATTTAGAGAGGATCTTGACTTACTAATCAAAATGTAAATAATTATTTGTTGTGTAGTCTTTATTAATCTTTGACTAATGATCTGCCACTAAGTATCAAGCTACCTGACATTCACTAAAAGTTCAACTAACAACTTAGTTTATGTACCAACAATTATATCTAAAGACTCAATGTATTTATATGTGTTGCGTTTAATTTTAATATGTTTTCTTGCATATAACGAAGGATTTCTTTCTTATGTGTGTTTAGGTCACGTGATGTGGCATGTAGGCACGTGATCTTGCAGGCAGCATGTTTGGTCGACATTATGATTTTAGCATGGAGCTTCTTTATGCCAGAAGAATGTGCTTTTCCTTCTCTCCATATGTATTACTTTGGAGACTTTAAATTTATACAATAATCTAGTCCGTATTTTCTATTTTTGTTATAATTTTTTCAATTTTCCATATCATTTTTGCTATTTAACGAAAATTTCTCGCGTTATTGCATTGCATGGATTTGCAGCATGTATATTAATTTGTATCACTTTCTTGGTAAATCTGCATCATTGCATATATATGTACCAACGAGATTTACTTATAGTGTTGAATAATTAGGGGTTTTACTATCAATTTACTAAAAAACATTCGCCATTCAGCTGCACTTTTTATTTACGGAAACGTGCATGGATTAAAGATTACTAATCACCAATATTGATATATTGTATAACATTTACAAAAAGAAAAAAGGAAAAAAAAAATCAACTCAGTGGTTGGCCACAAGCTAATATATCAATAAGTAGCTAGCACTCATTTTCAAGTCGTTTGACATCTATAAAGATTGGGTATTTGACATCTATAAAGATTGGGTTCAATTTAGCTACCTACCTTATCAATGGGTGTTAGTAAATATCACTTATGTGAGATCCAACGAAACGAACAAAGATAAATCATTATATGACTCTAGCTAGAATCATAGGAAATGAATGATTGTAATTATTGTAAATTATAAGTGATCTTAGCCATATATGAATGTCGACATTTCACCACATTATTTTCAATAATTATAGTATACGGATTATTTTTTAGACTAATTCAATCCGTTTTGTTCAAGTCCATCTTATATCGTGACATAAAATGTAAAGTTAGATTAAAATTTTGATCGTGAGTTAATTAGGCTCTCAAGACTACAAATGTCCCTCTCACATTACATCAATATAACCACCACCAAACCGTACAACATGCCTACTTTAAAACCAACAAACACATATGTCAAAACACACATTTTTCAACATTCCTACTTCAAACCAACAAACACGTATGACAAAAGGAAACCATAACTTTACGACCTTACCAATGCCCAAATACCAAATACCTGATAGAGTGTTTCGATTTTTTTGACGGACTATCAATAAATCTACTGAAAATACACATATATTACTTGATAAAATATATGGTTAATTAGGTAGATAGCCTAATTTTACAAAAAAATAATATAATCACAAAATCGTAAGTAAATGTATTTTTCACCCGATTATGAACCACACTATTTAATGTATCATCAAATAAAATAACATACTAAAATCAACTTCTAATATTTGTATATATTTTTTACATATGTCGTTGTTTTTATTTTACTTTAGTTATCCTTATATTTCCTTTTATTTTCCATCTTTTCTTTAAAAACATATATCGTTTAAAGATTATAAGTAAAAACTAAAAAGTATAAAAATAAAAAAATTATTAGGTGAGAAATAAGATATTACAAACTTTGGTGAGAACAAAGCAAACTATAAAATTGGAAGACTAATAATTTTCACTTAAGAAGAGGAGACGCAAAAAAACTGAATAAAACCAAAACCAAGTCGATATGTACAATTGGTTTTGGTTTTGTTCAGTTTTTTATTTCTCGTCATCCTAATCGATATTTATTTACAATTTTGTTACCACATCAATTTTACAAATAAGTGACAAAATTAGTCTATTTAGTCACATAATATAACTCAAACATGATGTAACATTCGAAGTTTCGAACATATATTACTACGCCGGTTCGTCGTGTGTTCTCTCTTTGACCAATGCAAAGAGAATGGATGGTAGACACAAGATCTGGGTTACTAGTCCACGTTGTTCGACGATCGTACACCGTAACTTGCGAAGCTAATTTAGTCAACGTCCATATCAACGTGTTTATCTATCATCCATCAGATCCCACAATCTCAATAACGCACCATAACAAAGTAAACCACATCGTACAGGAACATCACCTTCGTTATAAATCCATTTTCCCGCCCAATGTCACATAACGCCTAGCTGTCATTTTTGTTAATTCCGAAAATACCCATGGGGCAACATAATGGCTCCTAGATAAGGACATGGATAAAAATGTAAATTTGGTAAAAAATCACGTAGTAACAAAACCGTAACCCCACCGGCGATTATATATTAAATTCTTAGGTCTTTTAAACTTTAAAGGCGTTCACGGGGAAGGCATGTTTTTGGCTATTTATTAATATCTTGTTTTAGTGGAAACATTTAAAATATAAATTTTACGTGAAGAGATAAATTAATTTTACTACCATAGTCCATAGCCCGGCTCAATGTATTTTAATTACCACCACATTTTAGATCACAGTAATCATGTTACTCCTATTTTTGTTATGATCGTGAATGATAAACATAAAATTTGTATATACTAACGGATTTTGATGAGCTAATGATCACATAGATCCAGTTTTAGCTAATACACCATGCAATCATTTCTTTAGATAGATCTTAATTATTTGAACAAATAACTAAAAAGTATTTTTAAGACAGTAAGAGAGGAAATAATTTAGTCAAACAGATTAGTACAAGAAAAAGACAATTTTATGCAAATAATGTACTACTTGATTTTATCGAGCGTTATTTAGTCATTAGTGTAAATCCTAATTAACTATTACTAATATTACTATGAATAATTGACCATAAACGCTTTCTCGTGATTAGCAAATCTAGTGGATATTTCTTTTACTATAATAGTATAATTCTCCCAGTTTTAGCCTTATAATGTGCTCTTTTTCATTAATTTTTTTAACAATCCTCTCTGTCAGTCAGTCTTTTAATTCTCTTTCTTAATCTGCTAACGAATTCTCCCCTAATAAGCGTCCATGAGCATGACTAATTTCGGATAAAACATATACTGTAGTACTTAATACTTAATCAAATCAAGAAATTATGACACTATAACCTGTAGGGAAATATTAAGCGTGCATACAACTAATTAAGAGTTAAGACTCCTTTTTATTTTTTCCCAAAAAAGGCTTTCAACATTATAGCAAAACTACAAAACAAAGACTTGTTTTTTTTTTTTTTGGTCAACATAATGTATTAATAGACTTGTTCTTTGTTAGTGGCAAATTAGATTGAACATAACCACTTAACAAAAGAGAGGAAATTTTCGATTGCATGCAATAATGACAAGCAAAAGAGAAGCATATCAGTGAATAGAAGAAGTAGAACTGTGACTAATCCTGCAATTATTTTTATTTTATTTATATTTTCTTTCCAGAAATAATTATTAAAAAAAAAAGGGGAAAATAAAAAAACTGGTGTCCGTTACTTTACTTTATTAAAAGGTTTAGGAATCGAGAGAGATAGAGTATATTACTCCTTGTTCTAAAAATCCCCGCCTAGATCCGATTACTCCCCGCTTAATCGCTAGGCCTACCCTATCCGCCTCGATTAATGACTAATCACTTAAAGAAATCAGTCACCCGATTACTCTCCGCCTAATCCGATTACTTCCCGCCTAATCCGATTATTCCCCGCCTAATCTTACATACCCCGATTATTTTTAGATTGCTAGTATAAAAAAACTTTTTATTTTTGTTATTCAATCATTTGAATTGAGAGTTTGTAATGTTTTACACTAATTTATGTTCAAATTTTAATAAAAATCATAAATTTGTAATAAAAATCATAAAAATTTGTCTCAAAAATACATTTTTATGTGTTTACTGCAATTTTGAAAATAATATTGGATTAATATGTTTTAAAAATATTAAAATAACCCTAAAACTAATCCCCGATTAATCCCCGATTTTAGTCCGATTTTCCGATTAATCGCTAGGCCATGCCGAGCGCCCGACTAGCGCCTAGCGATTTTTCAAACAAGGATATTACTTATACTTGTGCTAGATTGCAGACAAAGCAAAGTATCAAAGATTCATTATTCACTTATACATACACAGATACATACAGAGACACTTGTTGTATATAATACAGAGAAAGAGAGACAGGTGTTAGGGCAAAGTTGAGAGTAGTGGTGGGTCTGTTTCTGACATAAGTCCCCATTTCCCGCCTTTGCTCTTGTTTGAATATCTCTCCTTCTCCTCCATCTTCCTCCACTAAAGATATAGAGAGAGAAAGTTAAAAGACTGAGACTTTCATCAGAGATAAGAAAGAAAGAGAGTGACAGTGTGTGGATGTGAATTTTTTTTTGTTTTTGTGTTGGAAAATGGATACCCCTCAGAAGAGTGTTACTCAGATCGGAACTCCAATTTCCAAATCCAGATTTGAGGTTTTTTCTTCTCCTTCTTCTTTATAACCCTATCATTGTTTTGGTCAAAGTTCTGTGTTGTTTTCTTTCTTCTAATGAATGTTTTGCTGTTTTTTGTGCCAATTCTCAAAGTTTGGTTCCCATCTCTGAATTATTTTCTGTTTTATTGTTAGAGAAATTCAGATTTCATAGGTTTGATGCTAATGCACCAATTTATTCAATTCATTGTTTTTTACAAAAAATATTACTTTGGTTTTGTGTTTGAAGTCAATGCAGTTAGTTCAAAGACATAACACAACTGTAACTGGTTTTTAGATTTGTTTGACTTTGACGGTTTTAAGTTGTGAAGTGTTAATTATGATCAGTTATCTCCAATTCACTACAAATTCTGTACTTCTTTTTGTTTCTGTTCTGTTTCTTAATATTCTTTGAATTGGAATCGGTAACCTTAATCAGTACAAAAAAAAATCCACAATTATATGCAAACTATAGTTGTTTTAATTTGATGGTTTAGTTGTTCACATTTCACTGTGAAGTGTCAGTTGTGATTATGTTTCCCTAATTCACTAAAAGATCTGTACTTATTTGTTCTGTCCTGTTTCTTAAGATTCTTTAAATTGGAATCTGTAACCTTAATTTTAGTACAAAAAAGATTCATAATTTTTTCCCTTTTTTTGTGTTGTCTGAAAATGCAGGATTCTCCAGTGTTCAATTACATAAACAGTTTGTCTCCAATAAGACCAGTTAGATCCATACCAAATCCTAACCAATTTAGCTCTCTGAATTTCACTTCTCCTCCCTCTGTTTTCACTTCACCACACCTAACTTCTTCTCACAAAGAATCTCGATTCTTCAAAACTCACAACTCTTCTTCTTCTTCTTCTTCATCTTCTGATCCTACCAATCCCGTTGAATCTCGAGAAGATGAGTCTACTTCTTATGAAGATGTTGTAGCAGAAGGAGAAGAAGATACAAAAGATCTCAATATAGATTCTTCCATGCGAGAAGAAGAAACAAATCGTGATGATTCTGTTTCTTCACCGTGTGGCAGAGATACTACCGATCTTTCGCTTGTTCCATACGCTCCTCGAGGAGAGAATGGTACTTCTGAGGATGCAGGAATGGAGCTGCAGAAGATGTATGATAATGTTCAAGGGAAAACCGAAACTCCGGATTGGGAAAGTTTGATTTCAGATGCTTCTGAGCTGCTGATCTTCGACTCACCTGATGCTTCAGAGGCTTTTAGATGTTTTATGATGCAGAGAGCATCAAACTCTGAAGCACGTTTTAGCAATGGTGTGGAGGTGCAAACAATGCAGCCCGATTCAAACAAGGAACCACAGTCCTCGGATGCGATTCCTTATGAGGTACACTCAGGAATAACATCTCAATTTGTATTTTTAGTGTATTATAAATTATCACGGTCTCTGAAAGAGTTGTCTTCTTGGTTTTTGTTTTGTGTGATAGGCTGTTTCACTCTTGCATCGCGGTATAAGAAGACGCTGCCTTGACTTTGAGATGCCGGGAAATAAGCAAACTAACAATGCGGCTTGTGAATCCTCGTCAAGATGTGTTGTACCGAGTATTGGTCTTCATCTAAACGCCATTTTAATGTCCTCAAAGGACTGTAAAACCAATGTCAGTCATGATTACTCATGTTCTGGGAAGATACAAGTGGGTTTACAAAGCTCCATCTCTACAATGCAAGATACTTTGGACCAAACAGAAAATGAAGCCCGGGAAGATGCAGATCAAGATGTTCCCGTTGAACCAGCCTTGCAAGAGTTGAATTTGAGCAGCCCTAAGAAGAAGAGGTAAGTGTTTTCCTCTGAGAATAACTACTCTGTGTAGATTCCTTTTATTATTGTCTTATTAACTGTTGGCATGATAAACACACAGAGTTAAGTTGGATTCTGGAGAAGGCGAGTCGTGTAAGCGATGCAACTGCAAAAAGTCCAAGTGTTTGAAACTGTAAGCTCCAAGTTCCACTTTTTTGATCTTTGGTACTTCAAAACTGTTTGGTGTTTTGAGTCTCTTGATGTTTATGCGCAGTTACTGTGAATGCTTTGCTGCTGGAGTCTATTGCATAGAGCCATGTTCATGTATAGACTGCTTCAATAAACCTATCCATGAAGACGTTGTCCTGGCGACTCGCAAACAGATTGAATCTCGGAATCCACTTGCATTTGCTCCTAAAGTCATTAGGAACTCTGAGTCGGTTCTAGAAACCGGGGTGGGATATTTTCCCCCTTCGTTTTATTCCTCTACATCATCAATCTATCTTGTTTGAAGGAATAATAAAATTGTAATGACACACAGGATGATGCAAGCAAAACTCCAGCTTCTGCACGCCACAAACGTGGCTGCAACTGCAAGAAATCAAACTGTTTGAAAAAATACTGTGAATGCTATCAGGTTTTTATTTTCCGCCATTAATGTGCTTCCAATGGATATATGTGGTTAACTTCCTCTGGTCTGATTCCTATAATTTGGTCTGTTGTTTCTTTAAAGGGTGGGGTGGGCTGTTCCATAAACTGTAGATGTGAAGGATGTAAGAACGCATTTGGCCGCAAAGATGGTTAGCTTCTCTGCTTCTGAGTTTTCATTACTAATAACCTCACATTCTCTTTCTGATTCTGATTCTGCTTAATGAATATCTCAGGGTCTTCCAATGACATGGAAGCACAACAAGAGGAGGAAAATGAAACATCTGAGAAAAGCAGAACAGCCAAAGTCCAACAGAACACTGAGGTTTTAATGAGAAAGGAGGCGAGGTCCGATCTACCTACGACACCAACCCCAATTTACAGGTAAACTCTCAAATTCAAAAGGAGTTTTGATGTGAGTTTATATTACCTGAATAGCTGAATTTTTTGTTTTTTTCCCAGACCAGAATTGGTTCAAATACCTTTCTCATCATCTAAGAATAGAATGCCTCCTCCACAGTCTCTTCTTGGAGGTCGATCTTCCTCGGGGATATTCAACAGTCAATATTTAAGAAAACCAGACATAAGTTTGACTCAATCCCGGATCAAGAAGTCATTCGAGACAGTTGCAGAGGATGGAGCTGAAGAAATGCCTGAGATTCTCATCCACTCCCCTATACCTAACATCAAGAGTGTCTCTCCCAACGGCAAAAGGGTCTCCCCTCCTCATATGGAATCATCTAGCTCAGGGTCAATCTTAGGGAGAAGAAGTGGCGGGCGGAAACTGATATTGCAGTCGATTCCATCGTTTCCTTCTCTCACTCCCCAACACTGAAAGCATTTGGTGTTGTGTAGCTATGGAAATTCTTTGAATCTTTTTCAAGGTGAAAGATGATATATGTCAACTTCTAGTTGGTAGTAAGTTAGCACTTAGCACACTTTAAGTCTGTAGTCTAGTGGTTGTGTAATAAAGGTGTCAATCCATCATGTTCTTCACAACAAAAACCAAACATTTCTTGTAATATATAAGTTTCTTCTCTTGAAGTTCTTGTCCGCTGTATCGAAACATACCGTGTCTGCTCTGAAAATCCCAGTTTCTGCCATGTTTCTCATTAAACCCCAGCTCTAGCTTTATTTTAAAATACATCTTATGCTAATTACTACAATATTTCAGAAATCATACTATATAATACTTCTGGAGTCAGTTCAATGAATATCTTTACGATAATCTATGAAAGACTAGATGTGATTTACCTTACGAACTTCCCTACTCTTCTTTAGTTGAAGATCTTATACACCCACAGAACCGGTTTTTCTTCTTTCTTGCAGTTCTTTTCCCGCCCTTTTGAATAATGTCTCTCAAGAGAATCACTGTCCTAGTCTCTGAAAACATTTTCCTTCCTTTGCTTTTGGTGCCATCTTCAAGCTTCAGCACTGTTTGCTCAATGCTCTGCATTTTGTTTTGCAGCTGCTCTATCTTTTCAGACCCGCTTCTTGACTTCTCCACGACCACCTTTCTGTATATATCTCTGGCATCTCCAGTCTCCTCAATTTCCTTTGAAAGAATCTCGTTTGTATTTTCCAGCTGCGAGACAGCTTCTTCCATTTCTTTCAACTGTCTCTTCACTATAACCAAATCAGCGTTGCTGAATCTTCCTTGTTTTTCATTCATCTCCAGCTTGCTTTTCAGATCTGTTAGGCTAATCCGGAGACTTGACAGTCTCCTTGAATCAGACAAAAGTCTCTCCAGAATCTTTGCCTTGTCTTCGATGTTTCTAGATAACTCCAGCTTGTCAACAACTCTAACCGCTTTATCAGATTCTATAGAGGGATTCCGGCTTTGGCGACGGAGATTGGAGTTCAATGGCCTCTCCGGTTTGTTACTGTTGATGAGAAAGTTTATACTGGTCTCTGATTCAGCAGATTCATCCCAAAACTCAAACATGTCATTGGAACCTTGACTAGTTCCCTGGCTTCTGCCATAGGTCAGGGAGTCTGTGACTTGATCACGAGGAATGTCGTTCATCAATAATCCATTTTTCACCTCTGTCATCTCAGGCCTCGATCTTGCCTGTCTAGATTCACCAGAGACCTTGTCATCAAGTTGTATATTTTCAATCTTCCTGCGGTCTCTGCTTTTTTGGGAGGCGCTTCTTGTTCTTTGCCTTGATAGCCTGCCTTTTTCTTTAAAAACTGCTTGTTCGATGGTCTTAATGCATGGAGTGGTGGTACTGCCACTTTCTTCAAGCTCTTGACAGACAGCTTTTTTCAGATTGTCTCCCTGAAAAAAATAAAAGTGTTTAGAATTCTTAAAGACCGGTACAGCAAGAAAGATGAGTTAACATTTGAAATAGAACAAACGAGTTCGAAAGTTTACCACTCTTTCTTGATAGGCTGTTGCAGGAAATTTCGTTAAAGCCTGTGTACTTTTCTCAAGGGATTTTACATCTACTGCCAAAGATGCTATCACAGGATCATAAGCTGACAATTGACTCTTCAGCTCAGTCACCTGAGACTCCAAAAAGCCAATTGTTTCTTTCATCTGTTGTATCTTCGTCGTTTTTGTAACAACTTCATCATTGAGATTTTCACAAACTCCTATGAGTTCGTTAACTTTGTTCTCAAGAATGAGTTCACGGACAGCTGAGATCTGAAGATCAAAGTAGAAAGATGTTGCTTCAGCATCCCAAAGTCCAATCTCATTGCTTTTCTCTTGCAGCTCCAAACTCAGGTACTCCTCTCGAACCTGTTGTCGTTGAATTTCTTTGTTTAAGAACTCTACCTCCGACTCCAAATTCTTATTCAAAGCATTAAGTTTTCGAATCTCTTCTTCCTGTCTTCCAGCAACATCTGACAGTTCGGAAATCTGCCTCTCTAAATTTCCCCTCATTCGTCTTGATTCTTTACAGTCTTTCCTCAGCTCCTCAACTTCTTTGTGCAGCTCTTCATTTGCATTGTTTGCAGCCTTGAGCATTTGCTCTGCTTCTAGGATCTCAATTTCCCTATGTTCCAATATTTCATCTACATTAGAAACCTGATGCTCCAAGAGTCCCTTTAAGAAGTTGTCTTCTTCAAGGCCTTCCTGTAAATTCTCCAGCATCTTCTTAAGACCTTGACTTTCTTCCTCTTTACCTTCTAACTTCTTCTCCAGTGTCTCAACCTTGCGCTTCAGGCCCGTACTAATTTCTCGTAAACTGCTTACAGTTTCAACAAAATCTTCAACCTCCTCAGCCATTTCAGACCCAAAGGATCTGTAAACCACACATGTGTTACCCAATGCAATAGCTTCCTGAAGAATTGCATCATTTTCTTCCTCAACTACACACATTCCATCTTTAAGTTCTGAGAATTTCAGAAGCAAATTTTTGTTATCATTGAGTGTATAGGAATAATTTTGTTGCAAAACCATGTATGACTCATGCAAACTCTCAAACTTCAAATGCTCCGTTTGCAGTTCAGCTCTCAGCTCTTGTTCTTGTTGCTCTCTTTTGATCAGTTTTGATTTCAACAACCGGTTTGCCTCCAATAGATCTTGCTTGTCCTTTTCCAGCATTCCACAGTGATGTATTATAGCCTTTAGATCTTTTTCGAGAATGTTCTTCTCCGATTCGACCACCAAACCATCTGATTCGAATTGTCCAAGTAGAGATAAGAGCACCGAGTTCTCAACTACAAGTCGCTGCATCTCATATTCAGCACTGGAAAGTGAACATTTTAAGCTTTTAATCTCTCCCAAAGCACGTACAACTGAAATTTGGTCTTTCGTAATCTTCTGTTCAGCCTTGCAATCTGCTTCAACTTGAAGTGCCTTTATCACTTGACAGATTGCACCCCTCAAGCTATCAATCTCATCCAAAAATATTTCTGCTTCCATCTGCTGCTCGAGATTCTCACTTTCCAGTTCCGAAATGAGTTTCTCTGAGAATTCCGATGCTTCAACATGCTTCTGACACTCGATCAGGAGAGAAAAATTCTTCTGCTCCAGATCTTCTATAAGCTTTTGCAAGATGAAGATCTCGACTTGTTTGTTTACAACTCTGTCAAGCTCATCCTCATAATCTCTTTTCCTGGAGCGACACTCTTCTCGAAGAAAGCTCACATTCTTCTGAAGATCTGCTAATCTGCTTTCAGTTGATCGTTTGTAATTATCATTTTCCTGCTTTTCAGTGGCAAGTGAGACCTGTAACTCTTCTACATGATGGTTTTTGAGCTTATTATCGCTTTGTGAATCAGTATACTTTACTTCCAGTTCTGTGTACTTCTTCTCCAAGGCTCCTAGCTTCTCCTCAACCGTATACAATTGAAAGACAATAGATTCTCTTTCCTTCATAAGTTCAGACTTATCATTTTTGAGAAACTGGAAGAAATCTTCAAAGCACTTTGACTTATCCCTTAAACTTTCAAGCTCAATGTTTGCACAAGACAGGGATTTCTCCAATAAAGAGTTCTTTTCCAAGAGTGTCTGCATATTCGCAGTCATGATTTGCAACTGGGAAACCAAGTTAGCTCTCTCAGCAGCAAGCTCAGATTTCTCTCCTCGTAAAGACTCACATCTTTCTTGCAGATCCTCTGCTTTCTCCCTGGAACCGTCTAGTTTGGTGTTTGATTCCAAAAGCAATTTCTCCAAATCAGCATTCCTCTTTAGAATGCTGTCCATTTCCAATAGCTTTCTTGTAACAGCATTTTTTTCACCTCTCTGATTGGTACATAACTCGATTAGCTTCGAGTTCTCGTCTTGTAGTTTTTTCACGGAGTATGAAAGAGATTCGGGATCGAAACCTGTGAGGCTCACTTGATCAATTAAGTTTTGGTATCTCCTATTCATGTTTTCAATATTACCCTTCACACAGTGGATCTCTACTTGAAGGGCACTGCTCTGGTTCATCTGTTTCGCAACTTCTTCCTCAAGCTTTTCTTTCATTTTCTTCAAGCAAGAGATCTCATTTTTTTGAATCTCCAAGGAGATAGAAGTGTCATTTAATTCGCTTAAGTTTCGGTTTTCTTCTTTAACTGAGCTGATGTCACCTTCCAACTTACGATTTCGCATCTCCAGTTCTCTCAACATTTGAATCCTGCTTTGAAGTTCCAAAGTGAGAACCTTCTGTTCCTCTTGGGATTGAGAATGCAAACTCTCCAAATTTCGAAGGCTAGCTCCAAGTTCTGAAAACCGCAATTGTTCTTCTTGCATTAGAGCTTGAAAAGCTTCAAGCTCGTTTTGCTTCTGGGAAAGTTCTTGATCTTTAGCTAACATTTTGTGCGCTAGATTGTCTGCTTCTACCTTGAGATTTTGATTAAAGCTCTCCAAAAGTGCGCATTGTTCCTCCACAGTCTTTATCTTTGCAGCGCCAGCAAGAACTTCACTGCTCAGTCTTTTGGCATTATCTTGAGCATGAGAAACTTCTCTCTCTAAATTTGATATTGTCTCCAAACACTGCTGATATCGAACATTCAAGTCGTCATTCACTTCATTCGACTTCAAAAGTTCTTGTTTCAAAGCTTTGATTTCATTTTCTGCTTGTTCAGATTGGTCCCTGAATATTCTAATACTCTCCCCGGCATCTCTAATTGTCTTCTCTAAAGAAGATATCAACTCAAGGCTTTTATTGTATCGAAGCAAGCCAGCCTCCTTCTCAGACTGCAATCTAGAAAGCTCTTGCTTGAGACTCATGGCTTCTCTTTCATCTTCAGATGCTTGGTTAGTGAGTCCCTTCGCATATTCTTCCCCATGAGAAATCGATGCTTCTAAATCCGCTATTCTCTCCATGGCTTGACTATACTGAAGAAGCCCAGTATCTCTCTCCACCTCTAGCTTTGCAAGAGATTCCTTGAGTATTTTAATCTCTGTGTCAGCTTTGCAAGCACGTTCATCAAATCCTTTAACATCCTTTTGAGCATCGTTAAGTTCCTTTTCAAATCTGGATACTTTGTTCAAGATTAACTGATATTGGAGATTCAAAGCTTCCTTTTCAGTCTGAAGCTCAAGCAATGTTCTCTTTAAGCTTTCGACTTCAGAATCTGCTTTGTGAGAATCAGAAGTTCCATATAATTTATTCAGCTGACTTAAACTCCTTTTACTTTTAGGACCATC